GATAACATGATTTTAGTCAAAGGAACAGTGTGCCATGGCAGGTAAATAGTATAATGGCTAATGAGGGTCAGGCTGGAGAATCTTGCCTACGTGCTCGGGGTTTTACTGATCGCCATATTTGGGGTCGGGAAGGAATTTTCCTCCGGGGTAGATTGGCAGAGGCCCTGGAGGTTTTTCGCCTTCCTCTGCAGCATGGGGCAGGGATTGCTAGCAGGAGGATTCTCTGCTAATTGAAGTCTCTAAGCCACAGGATTTGGGGACTTCAACAGCAGAGTCAAGGGAAAAGGGTAGGGACGGCTTTGTGGCCTGCATCATGCGGGAGATCAGACCAGATGATCATAATGGTCCCTTCTGACCTTAAAGTCTATGAGTCTATGAAATTTCAAAAATTCCCAGGGCTTCTAAGGGGGAGGGACAGCTGGTTGTTTACCTGGCTGCAGTGCAGTGGAGTTCAAACTGCTGACCAGAGCGGTCAGGATGGGCATTGTGGAACACCTCCTGGAGGCCAATGAAAAGCGATGAAATGAAGAGTGGTGTCTACACTGGCACTTTGTCAACCAAAATATAGAGGAAAAATTCTTAAATCTCTCGTGAGGGTGGATGTATTTTGTTTCCAAAACTGGGCATTTTCCCCAACAAAAGTCGCCTCGCAGTGTGTACGCACTCACTGTTTGGGTTGATAAATGGCAGTTTAGGCAACAAAACGTGGTAGTGTAGACAAGGCCTTAAATAAATCCACAATCTTTTGGCTCTTCAGTGCTGTTTGATCCCAAATAGCCATGACAACAGAAACTCCCCACTCCCTACATTCAACACCTCCCCACATACTGGAACTCATATTTAGGGAGTAGCTGCACACCTTTGTAAAATCTCCATCTGGAATAATAGGCAGGATGTTGCATATTGAACACCACATGATTTTTGTGAGCATACCATCCTGGTGCTCATTGGCTCCCCATTGAATACAGAGTCCAATTCAAGGTCTCAGTCTTGTCTCTGCAACACCAGCCATGTTCTGCTAGACTAACGAAATTTTAGACTCAACAAGGGGAAGTCTTGTGAGACAAATAAAAGACTATAGTCTCCAACCATCCCCCCTCAAACCTGGACCCTAACACTGGAACTCGCAAGTAAAAGAGTTTATAATGATTCGCCTCGCATCACCTCACCATATTCAGAACTAAAATGCAAAATTTAATGAGAGAAGCCAAGTTGAAGAGAGAAATTCTTCTCATATGCACCCCAATCTGATTAAGGAAGTGAGGAAGGTGTCCCTCCACAAAAATATTTTTGTTTATTCTCAGGGGACACTACCACATGAAAACTAGAGAGTTTCGTGTTAGCACCCCAGTCTTGCATGCCTTAGCTCTCCAACTCACATTATTTATAAGCTAGGAGTGAACAAGAGCCTTGCAGTAATGGAAAGAGTTTATAGAAAGAGAGGTTTCAGAGCAGCAGCCATGTTAGTCTGTATCCGCAAAAAGAACAGGAGTACTTGTGGCACCCTAGAGACTAACAAATTTATTAGAGCATAAGCTTTCGTGGACTACAGCCCACTTCTTTGGATGCATACCTTCGAAGGTATGCAT